GGTTCTGTGATTGTGTGATACCTCGTTCGGCTTCCTTTCTAGCAGTTTTAGAATGATCATCAGCGTTTCTTGTAGGAACAACTCTGGTACTGTGAGATGATTTGATAAAAACGAGGGCATGAATACCGTTTTTGGAATTTGAAGCGCTTTCTTAATGCTGGTATATCATGTTTTGTTATATCGTTATCATTTATTTTAGTAATATTATCTTCATCATTTGTCATTATTATTATTAGCAGTAGTATAGTTTATTTCATATTGATGTTGTTGTTAATATTACTATTAATACCATTGGTATATATATCATCAATGCTGGTGTTCATGTGATGATTATTGGCACCATCATCATCATCATTATGTCTTTCTCTCTTTTGTGTGTGTATACTCCTACCTTGAACTCGGCAACCCTTTTGATGTCGAAGATTCTGTTTGCGATAATAAATGGATAAAAAGCAACACAGCCAGCTTATTTGTATTGTCTGATTGATTCATAGTCAGATGTTTTATTAGATATCCAATGACAATGTCTTTGATTAGTAATTACCATTTTGCAGTTGATTGCAAAGCTTTCTGCTACCAGGCCCAGTTTATTATGTATAATCATTAAAGAGTACCGAAGTGTGACTTCATACTGGCCAAGTTGTCAATGTTGCTAGTTCCAAACATGTTTATGCTAAACAATGGTTTGATGATCACACCAGCCCAAGACACTGAATTTGCGCTGCTCCAGCCCGTGGCTTGAATGATTTATCAGTGAACCTTATGCACAGGCTCTGTTGTTTGGAACTTTTAACCCGGACGACGATCGAATATGACGTTAGCACTTCGGTACTTTATTCTGGATCACATGTTGAAATGTGCTCGTAATCATTCATGCATATAATCCTCCTTATTTTGTATTAGTCAAAATGCCAGAGAAGATAAATGTTAAGGATATCCCTTATTTTGGAGCTGAGCTGAAATGCATGTAGCCTATAATAAATCTAAATTCATATCGATGGCCATTACTATCTTTACTTAAACTATTCTTAAATGTCAGTCATAAAGTTCTCCGAAACAGGGTGCACCGTTCTGCCAAAATCATTTTTTTTTAAATTAAAAGAATAAGTCGATGTAGTATGTCTTTGAACCGAACTCTTCAGGAATGAAGAATTCGGTTCAAATACATCTGATTATTAGATAGATTAGTCTACGTACTACGAATATTTTTTGAATACGACGGCCTGCTAGCTCTTTATCCTTATTATTATTATTATTATTATTATTATTAATATAATTCTTATTATAAACTAGGTTTCGAAGACAGAGCGATGATATATTGTCCAAAGAAAATGGGATAGCAGGCCGCTGTGATTTTAAAGCAAGAATATACAATCTCGTACCTTTTACCGGTCCAACCATCCTTTCCTTCTTGAGAGCCTCTGCTGATTTTAACATGTGAGCTAATTGTAGAGGGAAAGGGTCAAATATTATCAAGAGACAGTGATAAATGTATAAGTTTCGCCGTATATTCAATTTCGCGTACAAACGATACAGGAATAGGTATGTACATTATAGACAGAAATATTTTGATAAAATAAACAACTAACAAGCTCTTATTCCATATTTTCGGCCTCTTATTTCTTATCCATCTTGCACGAAATAGCATTCCCAGATAGATGACAAAATATTCATGCCTGTTTTTAATAGTGTTATTATTATTATCACTATTTTCATTGCTGTTAGTATCATTGTTTTAACTATTATTATGATTTATATTACTATAATGATAAGCATTATGTTATTATTATAATTATTTTTTATTATTATTAATATTAACAGTTGATTGCCATAAATATATCAAGAAAATGGTTTCTATTTTTGGTCAAAATATCCTAGTTTTTGGTGCAACAAAGAACTTGAAGAAATATTGCAAAAACTGTTACGTCGTAGAAAATACTACATACAAGTTATCATGACTTACATTTTAGCATCTGCGGAAGTTGATCTTGCTGTTGCGTTTCTCTTGCATCTGTAGATGGCAAAGTTTCAGTGAGAAAAAAAGAGAAATAAATAAATAGATTGTTTTAGCTTTTTTCTTCTTCTTCTTCATCATTTCTTTTTTCTTCTCTTTCTCTATCTATTTCGTTTTATTTCGCTCTTTTTCTTTTTCTGTTGACCAGCAATACTGTCGGCTTATGAATACATAAACCAAATAAAACTGCTTTATATGAGCCAAAACATGCATATTGATTAGATTGATCCACTGGCTGACCTTCAGTCTGTTCTCAGTCTCTACTTGACCTGATTGAGCCCGTCACATGTACGTCATCTTGGGGAACACATTATTCAGATTTATGCAGAATCAAGAAATACCTTATTATATAGACCAAATAATCATTTATTTAAATTGGAAATATTGGGCCTTGAAGAGCCACCCCCCCCCCCCATTACACTCACAAAATAACAAATGAAGAATAAATATAATCATAAAAATATAGAGTAAAAGAATATGACACATTTGAAACAGACATCCATCTGGAAATTAATTAGATTTATATATTGCTTGATACATAAATGATGTCTCTATATAGCCCTTTAATGAAAAAATATCTCCGATTCATCGGATTTCAGACATTCCCCACTCCCTGTGGAGTATTTCATCCCGGCGTCATGTTACAGTGTCCCAAATGCCTTGCTAACTACAAGTATTATGTTTTCATTCTGCTGGGTATCCATTTAACACCTGGGTGGAGGATGGCAAACATGGATTAATGTCTTGTCAAAAGACGCTAGTATCACTGTATATGAAAATCGGAACATGCCTAAGGATGAACAGTTTTTCTTAGATGGAGAAAAATAGAAAATATGAAGACCCTTAGATTGACTTTACTTACCTTCGAATATCTGAAAAAGGTCGTTTTGCTCCTTTTCCTCTTTTTCCATGGAAGCTATTTAAAAAATCCATAAGTTTTCTTATATATTAAACAAATATCAGCAGGGGGAAAAGGAGAAAACAAGAAATTGCGCAAACATCAAACATTTTTCTGCTCCGACGTGAGATAAAAGATCAATTATTATAGAAAAATAAAAACAATTTTTTGTTTTCATTGTTCACATCAACATTGAACTGGTGCCCACTGTTGATGCCTTGATTTTTTTTATATTTTAGCACATTCTGTTTATAATGTACCATCAGTGACAACTAAATTCGCCTGTCGTTTTCTCTCTTCTTTTTTTCTCATGCCTAGGGTGGCAACATGAGATATCAAACTTACAACCATAGTATTGGGGTAGGCTCGAAAACGATTTATCCATGGCCATGTCTATTAGACATTTCGTTTTGGATTGAATAGCAAAATCTTACCGAGTTTATTTGCCTGTAGGTTCTTTTCCATTTCTTTCTCGGCTTCTGAAATAATGTTCATAGAAGAAAAACAAATTCAACAAGATTTATCCAATGATATTGACCAGAGTATTTTTTTTTTTTGAAATACAAAGTGTGCATCCACGGCCCTTTGGTCTCTTCTTTTCTTGCTGGAGGCCTACAACATGTTCCTTTTCGAATTTTCATATTCATATCATTTGTTTATTTTTCACCGCTTTGACAGCAGTCCTCAAGAGTATTATTTGCTGTCTCTCATTTTGCGTCTCAAAGGTAAATTTTATCCTGGTGAGAAGGTATCCAAAAATAGCAGCAAACCATAACAAAAGCAGGCATACAAGTACAATTAAGTACATTTCAAAATATTAACATTATAGGACCAGTACAGCCTACTCGATAAAAGGGGTAAAGATCAAATAAGAAGAAAAAGAATCAGTGCGGTATTTTTAATTATTATGTTACCTACACTGCGCATGCTGTACACTACGATACAATTTTCACCCAACTACATTCATTCAAAATGAATGTAAAAAATAATAGACCTTTTTTTGTTACTCACCATCGCACAATTTTGAAAGATCTTCCTCCATGTAAGCCTCTGCAGCATTTGCCGCTGGAGGCGAAAGACAGCCGGGTGGTGATAGAGAGTGAGTGAGAGAGAGAGAGAGAGAGAGAGAGAGAGCGAGAGAGAGAGAGAGAGAGAGAGAGAGAGAGGGGGGGGGTATAAATTGTAAATTAACAATAATCGAGAGACCGGAGAGAACATTTTCAACAAAATGAAAGTGAAAATAAGTTTGACAATTACTTATTCGTGTAAAGATAAACAATCAATTAGAAACATTTGAGAACAAAGTGAAACTTTAGAAAGTGAAAAAAAAGTTTATACTGTAAATAGGTTTAACAAATATTCAGGAACACTAACTTTCTGTTTTAAAAACATGTTAGCTAAGTGATACTGAAATAATAAATTGGAAAGCAGCATAATATTTCATAACGTAACGGGAACTTAACAAAGCACTCAGACAACGGATGCAGAAGTCGTGTTGCCACTGCGATAACTGTGAGAAATGTCGTGATTTGTTACTGTTCTATTGGGCAGGTAAGCACAAGCATGTCAAGATGATTTCATTGAAATATGTAGCGCAATAAGGTTCAACGTCATTAAATATGTAAATGTATAAATATTCCATGTCTCTATATTGTTGTTCATCAGTAACATATCCAGCCCGGGCTGGATATGTTACTGATGAACAACAATACAGTCTTTTTCAAGACTACCAACAGTCCTTTTCAGGACTACACACACTCAAGCAAGAAAGATTACCGAGAGTCCTTTTCAGGACTCCCCAATCCTCCCCTTCCTCACATGGTGCAACCGCAAGCCCACTGTATATCTACATCACCATGCAATCCGATACTTATAAGCAATATATGTTTATTTTCCAAATTACAATGTTTCCCTAACATGATAACTACTAGTTGCTTTATTTTCTTTTCTTGGTCGTAAATATCTAAGAAAATGTGAAATCACCCCCCCCCCGTCTGTCTGTACTTCAATTACGATAGTGTTGTTCATTAAATGCATTTACTATGAATCTATCTGACGACATAAAATGATCAGGTATGTACTAGAAGTTTAGAGTACTCCTAGAGGCACGGCAATGTGTTCAACATGCTCACCTTTCAAAAAGTCAGCAACACCTTCCTCCACATTAGGATGTCCCTCTTCTGAATGGACGAAAAAACAGGAGTTCCCCCAAAGCGAAATATATTCGATTACTTAGAGAAAACAATCTGCCCACAATTAAAATTCACTATTTTTGTTTCCTTCATTTAAAAAAAATCTATTTCATATTTTTGTCCAAATTAGTACAAAGCAAACGGTATTTTAATTCGAAACACATGAATTGGGCGATTTTTGTTGTTTGGTTTGTTCGTTTGACCTGACTGCAACGAAAGCCTGAAAGTGCTTGTAAACAAGCAGTCAGGGAACCGACAGCTACGGAGGGCGTGGTAATGAGAAAAAATGCTTTTTACCCCCTGCATATACACAGATTTTTCTTACGAGTTCTTACGGATCGCCAACACGTAGTCAATCGCAAGCATCCGTAAATAACTCGCTGGTATCCGTAAATAACTCCTCATAACTTGCAACAACTCGCAGACATTCTAAGGATCCGTGAAAGGAGAGCCAATTTGATTGACATGTCAAAAATCTGTTTACGATTGTCCACGGATTTATTTTTCTGTAAATAGCTCTTATAATCCGTAAGTATCGTAAACCGCTCGCAACAAAACGTAATCATCCGTAAACTTTTCGCAAGAATCCGTAAATGACTCGTAACCATTTTTTAACGATTTGTTACGGTTAGCTTACGATTCGTTTACGGATTATTTATGGATTATTATGAGTGCGTACGTGTTGTTTACGATTTCATTCGGGTCGTGTTACGATGGCTTTACGGATTGTTACGGGTTATTACGAGCACTTTACGTTTAGTTACGAGTGATTCACGAATAGATACGTATACTTTATGTATTCTTACGAATTGTTTACGATTTGGGGAAAGGTATAAAAGCTGCAAATTCGAACACTTCTTTTTCAGTTGTAATTTTTTAGCTTAAAATCATAAGTACTCGTAAATAATCGTAACTAACTCTTAACTAATCGTAACAAAACGTAAGCAGGTTGTAACTAACACTTTAGTTGCTCGTAGATATCCGTGACAACTCGTAACAAATCCTGGAATTTTGACGTAAATACATCGTAATAACTCGTAATAATCCGTAATAAACCGTAAAATGCTCGCAGTAACTCGTAACAACTCTTAAATCGGTCGTAAAATTGGCCAAATCGTAAGGATCCGTGAAAGATCCGTGAATTTGTGCGATCCGTAAGGACTTAGAATAATCCGTGTATGTGAAAGTGGTATAAAGGGGGTATAACCAAAAGGCACTAGCACAACTACTATTCTCCTCGACCTGCCAGTTACGAAAACACTGCTTTACCACTGAGCCATCGCACCTCCTTTTTATCGGATCTGTTCATTTTAAATGATTTTTTAGTGGCTGGAATGAAATAATGTCATTTATGAATGTTTTAGAAGCTTAACGGGCAAGTATAAAATCATATGGATTAGAACAACTGGTAGACTTATAGATCAGTATTATTATTATAATATTATGTTATGAGGGGGGGGGGGCGCTTGTCCTCACCTCTTAGCCTCTCCCGGTATTCATCAAGCAGTAGTAGTTTATTTTGCTCTGAAATAAATGAAGGAGGGATAGTATAAATAAACACACATATTGTAAAAGAGGGTTCGTTTTCAAAAATAGAATTCACATTCCGACCTTATTTTACATTATTCCATATATTAAATATTTTGATCATTAACTTGTGAAAAGATGTATACAACCAACAATTTTAAAAGGATTCCACAGTTTGGTTTGGGAGGAATGTAGGAAATACAAAGGTTTATAAAAAAAAAAATCAAGTTCCGGTTCCGAAAATGGACTTCAAGGAATTGTAAATCCGATAGCAAAACATGCTCATTTACATATTATTGGCATGCCCGGCGACTATTCCAAAGTAAAACCAACATGAGGGAAGCAAAATAAAATGTAAAAAGAAGGGATAGAATGAATTGATTGATTGATTGATTTTTATTCGACAAGCTTCCAATATACAACAATATACAATAATAACAGATCAAAAATAAGTCAGCTTGAACAGGATAACCCACGAAAGCTCGAGAGCTTATTTCCAGTGGGGTCCCTTACAGACATGTATACAATTAATAAATTAAAATAGTAATATTTACAGACAGATAAGAAAATTAAAAGAACTACTTATTAAAGATAATAATAACAACATTAAACTGATGATAGAAATGATATCAAAAAGAACTAAAAAGTAAAAAAAGTATTTTTTTGTTATTGTATATATCAACTTGTGAGAATTGTTTTCTCCTTCTACCTTCTGTGTCTCCTCATTTTTGTATTTTTTATTTTTTGGGTAGGAGGGGGGGGGGCAGTATAAGTATATTTTCATAATTTATATTTTCACATCCACATATTCATTTCAAGTGCTTTTGAAGATTTTTTTTGATTTTGTTTAAGCTCCAATTATGATTTACAACATAATTGTAATTTGTATCATTTACATGTCGATACGGACAGATTTTCGTTAACATCTAGTTATATTCATCTCCCATTTTACCTCTAAATGAACGCACATATGCTCGTGACATTTCACAACAAAGAAAAAAGAAGAAACAAACAGAAGAAAACAAATTATAAAAGGAAAAGGTAGTTTAAGAATCATCCAGGACTAAGATTGAAAGTTTCTTACCTCTATCTTTTGCCCATTTGGCCATTTTCTTGTCTCTTTGTGCTTCTCCTACGGATAAACAAACACAAAACGTAAGTCAAAGAACCAAACGTACACAAAGTTTTTCATGAGAGTAATACTATTTACAGCAACTATGATAGTAATAATACTAATGAAATAGTAATTTAAGTAGTAGTAGTACTAGTAGTAGTAGAAGTAGTGGTAATGACGATAATGATTGTATTAGTACCACCGCTAATGCTAACAACAACAGTTATAATGATAAAACTTATAGTCACACAAAATATATACTAATAGCAATAATAATGATACCCTACTAAAGCAAGAATTCAGAAAATCATCTGTATCGATAGACAAAAACAAAACTTTTTTTTTCTTTTCCTCACCCTCCATCATGCGCAAGAAATCAGCTGGTTTGAATCCCGGATGAGGTTCACCTGTTCCTTCATCAAAATAATGTAAACAAATCACACACAAGTTTAAATATGTGGAGTGGTGTAGATAAATAAAACACAACAAACATTAAGATGTAGTAAGGATTTGTTTCTTCTTCATTATCCTATGAAACCAATGCGTCGTGAAGGATTAAACGCTCACACATATATATGGTCAGTTGTTTTCAGAAGTTAGACACCATTCGAGTGTTTACACAATAGTAGGTGTTGTCAGTCGTCGGAATTGAACTTCACTTTTCACGGTCATGGGGATGGTCATCAAAATATCAAATTTCCCTCACCCTCGATATACTATGCAATACAGGTTTCTCCTGCAAAGCAATTTTATGTAGTGAAGAGACTACCTTGTATACAGAACACAGAACATGAAAAGGAATAAACAAACAAATTAATTAATAAATTAATTAAAAAAGAGATATCAAGAGTGTCTTTACAGGTTCTGTCTTTTATTTTTCTTACCTGTCGACATCATGGCAAACAAATCCCTGATAGCTGGATCCCCGGTTGTAGGATCAAACTCTATTTGTGTGCGCAAATTTAGACGAGTAGAGAGGGAAGGGGGGAGAGGGGAAGAGAAAAAAAAACAAGAGAGTTCATAACTACCAATTATTCCAACGCCTCAACATATATGTATATTGTTAGACATATAGATCATGTAACTGAATATGATTGACTTGTTAAAATTTAGAACCTGTACGATGTATAAACCGATACCCATATCACGCGAAAAACAAGATGGATGGACAGCTTTTGAAGGAAACACACACGCACACCCGCTTATCGATCCACATCAGAATGCATCATCAAAATTGCGCTCAACATTAAGATTTATTTCAAATTGACTATTTGTAATTTAAGCCTTCTCAATATCACCATCTAAAATATATCAAAGTATTTTTTTTCGGAACTGATAATCATGATTTTCAGTTCAAAAGTTTCAAAGAAAGTTAGTCATATATAAATATCAATTGATTTCCCCTTTCTTTCTTATTTAAGTAATCATAATGATATTAATCCATTGAATTTATATAATAACAAATTCTACGGAGGTGAAATTGTTGTGCAAAAGAAAACACTGGCAATCACCGATGTATCTTCCTTAATTTTCCTTTTGATATACAACTGACATTCTCACCTTTTGTCATCTCACTAAGCACGTTCTTAAGTTCTAGATCACTGTTTGTTGCATCGGAGTCTATTAAGAATGCATATGCAGAAAGAGAGGAAAAAGAAAGAAATACAGATGATACAATTTACGATTTAGATTTGTTTGTTCTGACAGAACCCCGGATAATCCAATACAATGAGTGATTTCAAGTTAGGTGTTAGTGTTAGTGTTTAGAGCAGTCAAGAGCTCTTAAATCGAGCTAAAAATCTGCTGATGAAATTAAAAGCCCGATACCGATACCAATATCGATAGCTTAACACTACCGTGGCACTTTAACATCGCCACACAGACTTGATTTCAGAACGATGATTTTAAGATAGTTTTATACAAAAGAATGTATGAATCACATAATAAAGGACCTGTTTCACATATTTTTATTTGATCGTCAGACAATAAATTAGCGTCATTCGTGCATTGACTCTTGTCCGGGTATAACACTAACACCGACCTCGAAATCAACATTTGCTTAAACCCTAGGGGTTAGTGTTAGTGAATAGAACATTTTTTACGTAAAATATTAACACCAGCCAGAAAGGTCGGTTCAGCAGACGACAATTATGCAAAATCGATAACACTAGCTACCGGAAGTTGATGATATTCAGAGGTCAAAGCCTTAACACCAGCTAATTTTCATTTCGGTGTGGTGTTAGCGTTAATAAACACTAACATCAGCCCTAAACACCCAACTTGAAATCACTCAATGTAGCATAAGAAATTGTTGATTTTGTCTACTCTCAATTTACCACACTTTATGGCCATGAACACTTTATAACCATAAGGAAAAAGGTTGTGGCCACCAGAACTTGGGGTCATGGCTTTGAGCTTGATTTCCAGCTTGTACCCTCTCCACAATGTGTATGACAGACATTTCTCCTCCATCTAAAAGGCAAATCCAACTTTTGTAACAAGTTCATTTGTATGGAAGCGGAAAAATAAGGGAAACAGAATGGTGAAAGTTTTAAATAAATCTCACCAATATCAGAGAGTTATGAATGTTTAGAATATGAGATCACTAACTCTACGTACATTTCAAATTGGCAATTTGATCAGTGGAATGTGACGTGGAAATGACAACTCTGTCGTTTATCGTGTACTACAAAATCATTAATTTATTTTTTCTTCTTTAAAGTGCCTTATCACTTGGGGAACCTCTCAAACGCATAGAAAATCATATAAAGGTCCTCTAAAGAAAAAAAGACCCTCTTGAGTCGTACATTTGGACAAAATGGAATTTTCAGTTTATTATATAATGTGTGTTGATTGATGGAATAAGTTGTCCGGCACTACGTCACAGTGACATTACTGATTTAGCCAATTTGTAGTTCCCATACGATTAGTGATTACATCTGTAATACAAATGAATAACTCAATTTTTGTCCGATTTCGTCCAAACTTTCACTAGTCTACTTTTCTGACTCAAAATTCAGGTTAAGGGCAGCAATGTTATAATAAAAATTACAGCAATATAATTCTTTCTCCTCAAACAAGCAGGCCTATTTTGATTACCTCGTGCATCAACTTTCCAAAGCTTAACACACGGCATGATAAGTGACCCAACAGCGTATCGAAATAGCCTTTGAGTTGAATTATTGTAAGTCTTTGTCATCGTAGTTGGGAAATTTCCTGGACACTAATATATGACAGATATGTAAAAAGTTCAAAATTTCATTCAACTTTCCCACCTGAAGTATCAGAGCATTCATCTTCGAAGTCCAGCTGAGCATCAATGGCCTCTGCGACGTACTCTAAAAAGAGAGAATAATGGCTCAAGACATAAATAATTATTTTGCAACTGTTGAACCCTTCCCTAAACAAGTGAACCACATTGATTTACAGTGAGACACAATTTCAGGACAATAGAATTAATATAGATCACCCAACGTTCAGTGTGTTATTGAAAGCGTGGGGAAAAAATTGCGTAAGTAAAATTGTTGTTGATCTTTAATTTTAATTAATGCTTTTGATCAATGATCTTCAAATCCCTGAAGGGAAACTTATCCATAGTTGTCATTATAAAACATATATCAATGTATATATCTATCAATCTGTTTTTCCGAAGTTGTTTCTGACTGATAAAGGAATGAATATTCCCAGTATTCTGAAAAGGTGCATTCCTTCTACATGCTTTAGGAATAATAAAAAGGTTCATTATACCACCTCAAAGGTTTAATTCAGACTTAACGATGAACGCACGACAAACATATGGTGCATTTTTAAGGACCGGGTATCGTCCTCCCTCTCCCCCTTTTCTATCTTATTATGTTTTTGAATAAAAATTCGTTGGTTATAGGCCTACACATACGAGGAAAATGTCACATTTCTTGGTAAATGTAAACTGTTACTGTAGCCATAAAAGGGCAATATTGTATGAAGTGGGTTTGCTGCGATTGGCAATATGGTCCGTACCGTGGAGACCTGGCTTTGGACAACAAGTCTGAATTCGATTAATTATCGTTATGTGATATACAGTATTCATCTTTTTAGTTGACATAACTCACTATCAACCATTTCAATTTCGTTAGGGTGATATTCCAGGATAGACCGATAGGTAGATAATGCTTCATCGAATAATGAAAGTCCTAGGAGGGCCTTCCCCTTATGAACACGAGCTTTTGCATTCTCAGGCTCAACCATGAGAAGTTGATCACAGTCTGCTATTGCTTCCTTGAATTTCCCTAGCTTGTTGTATGCCTGAGAACAAAGAGAGATAAAATAAAACTCGACAAAGTTGACTATTAATGAATATATTTTTAAACCCATGGTGAACTACACAGCACTTTTATTTGTAATGAAACGTCTCAAACTTTAGGGTCAAGGTATTTTCCTCCACATTCATTAAAAGCCTTTCGTTACGTTTATCGTGCTGCTAATCATGTACTTAGGCTGATATGTGTAGGTGTAGACTTTGACAGCTAAAGACAATATATATTTATAGATTTGTTTGCCTTAGTTTTAACTCAAGTTTTAATCTCGTGACTGTTGATGTTTGCTTTTATGAACATTAAACGTCCCTGGACATCAACTATATGGTTGCTAGACGTTGTGCTTATTGTCAACAAATGCATATCATGTGGGTTCATTTTAATCACGTTCCAAAGTTTGGCGGTTATTTGCCAAGGGGGCAATTCATTCTGTACTGAACACAAATTGCACGGCGTTTTGGTGTTGCATTCTATACATGTACAAGCATCGACATAGAGTTTTGACAGTCGTTTAAATCTTTACCTGTGCTCTGTTGGTATATAGGCACCCAAGTTTGTCTGTATGCTCTAGTCCACTGGTGTAATACTTTATGGCTGATGCGAAGTTTCCTGCCTTGTAAGCCTCGTTTCCTATCCTTTTACACTCTACGGCCAGCTCCTCATCCTCCTCCCCCATTCGCCTGGTATCATCAGACATGGAATCACCTTGTGAAATATGAAACACTAATTCATAATAATATTCATAAATGATAATAATAATAATAGTAATAACTATAAAATATGATAATAATGATAATATCAATAATTTTAATAATAATAATAGAAATAATACTAATAATACTAATATAAGATTTGTAAGTCACTGAAACTAATTATATGCACATGCTAAAGGCGCATTTGTGAAACTTAAACAATAAACAAAAAAGATATCACATGAATTAAAACATCTGCATCATAAACAAAAGAAAACAAGTAAGATAGTAACATACACAAATGAAAAAACAATTAATTATACTAACTACTATAGTTGATAAGGTGTTCATCGGTACAGTAATGTAGATATTAGCTGTAAAAACTCACATTTCCCTGGTAATACCTATTTTTTTCAAATTATCGACAATGCTTTGGGGGATCCAATCTGCATCACTGATGTAATGAACAGCACCAAAAAAAAAAGGATGGAGAGAGTTGTATGTGTGTCAAATTATGTCCATTAAGTAGACTGAAGACTAATCCCCACCCTTCCCCCTATGGCTGAGTCCAAGCTACACCATTGAACCAGCGTATAATGTTTGTAGTAAAAGATAATTTGAATGAAGTGTGTCAAATATAATCTTCTTTAATCAAGAGAGATATTTTGACGAACCATTCACGATTTCCAAAGAATTTAGTGTAAAAATGTAAGAATTTCGGACGACGGATATCGAGCCCTACAGTATGGGATCCTCCTACCATAATGGCTCATGGCAATCTCATCTTTATCAATATCTAAATGAACGTACCGTGCAGTCCTTGTAATCCTTCTGGATGATCCATAGCAGACGATCTAGATTTTAAAGACAAAGATTATGCACAATCATATCTGAATCAGTTTCGATGAATTCAGGATCTTGAGTTCGATTGGAAATAAATATAATGCTAGTCCCTTTTGGATAAATGAGGATGGGACTAATCGGTATAGAGAGTTTGGAAACAAAAGGTCCCTTCGAAATGTTTGCCTTAAGGGCATCGTTTAACAATGTTAAATCCCAGATACATGGCCCTACGCGTTATCAGTGTCTGTGTTGTGTTGTATTATTGAAGGCCTCAACAAAAATGCGCTTCAAGATGATCATAAAGTGCCTCAAGAAAGTAAATATCTTTGTGCGACCGGTTTTACCAAACTTATTTCCCCCAATAGACTGCAGTGTTATAAAAACCGTTGGGAAAACGGCTTTTGAAATTTCGATTTCCAATATAAATATATCGACAATTAGACAGGCGATCCGATTGTAAAAGTCATGGGATTCCTGTTTAACCTAAAGGTTTGTAATTTTGATTGCAGCATGAGCTAAATCTAGGATTTTGTTTGGGAATTTGAGGCAAAGATACCCAATCCCTTTAAATGATTTCGATTGTCCAGCTGTTATAATAACCCGGGAAGTGTAAATATAGCTGAGGCGGGTAGGAAATATGTTAGTAGTGTGAGAAACTTGATTGTATGTCGGAAACAATGATGAATTAAAGAAAGGCAATTATCACTCGCTAAATAAACAAGAAATTTTTTAATTACCTCAACGTAAGTAGCACTTGGAAATCTTCCTGAGCATACTGAATTGGGCTGGCACCATCTTGGTCTCGTATATTCAGATTGGCACCATGTTCAATCAAATAGATAACCAGGGCTCTCTCTGGTGGAACATTGTACTGTAATGCAAAAAGTGATTCTATGTCAAAGTAAAACTTCACTGTAGGCCGACTCGCTTTAGTCGCTTTCTAAATCAATTCATCAATTTAAACTTGTCAAATATGGCAGTAACAAAATACTGAAGACATAAAAATGCAACACCTGATATCTTGAATTTTCTTTTTATTTGTTACAAGATTCTTTAATACCCTACTAAAGCTACTTTCCTCTTATACTGTTTACCTCATACGAAAACCATGATGCTGAGATGAATTGATATAAAACTACGATATCATTCGTGGAATTAAAATGAAAATTATATTTTACACATTAGTATTGGGTAGATAACAATGGTTTTGTCATGCATAGGAGATAAATAAATACAAAAAATAATAACAATATCATTACCGCGTACCTTCCGAAGGGTATCTGTAACCTCCACTTGTTTTTGTTTTGTGTTACATAAGATGATGGCTTCGTGGAGACAAGTCCGACCAGTGGATGATGTGATGTTTAGATCGGCCCCGTGCATAGTTAATGTCTCAACAACAGAGGTACAACCTGCTCGAGTAGCCAAGTGCATGGCTGTCAATCCTTCCTTGTCGGTACGATTAACCAGCGAAACATCCTTTAAAGGAAATTGAAAAAATATAAATTCACATCATTAGATCGCAACTTCTTTCGAAAATCTAATTGAAAGTGGGAACATAACGAACCACGTATATCGTAGTCCAAGCATGATTGTTATGGGGCATACATACAATATGATCGTTTTACATATTATTCCATCGACTACAGATATTAGACAAAAAAGATCAATTCTAGTTGAACAATAAAAAGAATAATCCTGTAAAAAATATATATTTGTATACGTTAACATATCAATGGTGTTTAATGTGGTGTTCCGTTTGAAAATGTAACAATCATGAAGGCATCATACTTCTGTCTAAATTTGAACAAATTGATGATTTTTGTGTTTTATTAACGGAGACATATGTAGGGGTTATAACAATTTTCGATCAGTATTTGTCACTGCTGAATAGAGCTGAACATAGATACATTAATACAGTATATGATTGGAAATTACCTCATGAAAGAATATCTGTCCATGCGCACTCTCTGCCGTGCTATGTCCCACATGACGAAGAAGGCAGTCAGCAACACGATAGTGTCCCTTCTCACATGCTAGATGCAAAGCAGTTGAACCTGCTTTAGTTTCCTGCTTGATATCTGCGTCCTGGGTCAGCAAGTACTCTGTAACATCACAGTAACCGCTCTTTGCAGCAATGTGCAAGGCACTTTCTCCTTTATTATCTGAGGCATTTACTTGACCTCCGTTATTGATCAGAAATTGTGTCAGTGGAAGATGACCTATCGATGCAGCAAAATACAGGGCAGCCTGACCATTGTTATCACGTGCAGCTACGACTGCTCCTTTGTCGACGAGGTGCTTCGTGAGATCTTCAAGACGTGCAAGAACAGCGAAATGCAAGGGGGTCGTACCTCCGTTGTCTCCAGTATTAAGGTCGGCTCCCTGACCTATCAGGTATTTCGTGACATCAGTGTGACAATTTGCAATTGCGTAAAGCAAGGGGTTGTGGCCATTGTTGCTTGTGAGATTTACCTTGGCTCCGTGTGTGACCAGGTTCTTTATGATGGCAATGTGACCGTTTTGTGCAGCTACGTGCAGGACTGTTGACCCATCATTAATCGTTCCATTCACTTCGGCCCCATGGTTGATTAAGTACTCAGCAATATCACAGTGGCCAAACTGTACAGCAGCATGTAGAGCAGTGCCTCCTCTGTATATGGACTTATTTACCTCTGCCCCGTTGCTGAGGAGGTACTTTGCAATGTCAAGGTGACCCAAACTTGCGGCATAATGCAGTGCCGTTCCTCCTGACGTGTTAACTCTATCTAAATCTGCCCCGTGCTTGATTAAACACCGTGTACAGTCAAGATCCCCCTTCTGGACGGCTAACTGTAATGCTGTCACCGTGCTGCTGTCACGGCAGTTTACTTTAGCTCCATGCTCTAGAAGATATTGAACTACATTTATGTGACTATTCTGCGCGGCATAATGCAAGGGGGTAGCACCATTAAATGCTTCTCCATTTATATCTGCCCCGCGGTCGATGAGGCACGTAATGCAGTCAATGTAACCTCTTTTGGCAGCTGAGTGTAAAGCAGTTGAGCCAGTATTGTTAATCTTATTGACATCCGCTCCGTGATCAAGTAGATACCGTGTGATAGTCGTGTACCCGCTTTGTACTGAAACATCTAACGCCGTTGTTCCGTTTTCACCCTCCATATCTACCGGAGCTCCATGATTGAGAAGACATTTCGTAACGTCAAGATGCCCACCAATCACAGCAACATGTAGAAGAGGAACGGCGCTTTTTTCTATCCTTGCTCCACGGCTGAAAAGTAATTCAGTCAAGCCAAGGTTTCCAAATCGTGTCGCGGAATGCAACGGTGTTGCGCCATTTACGTCCGTATTATTAACATCCGCTCCGTTAGCTATTAGGTATTGCGATAGGTCGTAGTGTCCCATCGTCAGAGCGCTATCTAGAGCAGTTATGCCATGAATGTCTCTCCTATTGATGTCGCTTCCATGGCTGATCAAGAACTGTGTGGTTTCAAGCCGGCCATTCTGTGAAGCAATGTGCAAAGCGGTTGTTCCGTCAGGTTTCGCTATGTCCACATTTATCCCAAGGTCAATCAGACTTGTTAGTAGGTCACGATTGCCGTTACTTGCAGCTGCATGAAAAGCCGTTATTCCTAAACTAAATTCATTGATATTAACACCAGTTCGGCCAAGAAATTCTCCAAAGAGTGTGAAATCCTGCGAGAGCGTGGCGTCATCGTAATCCACCGCCTCATTATCTACTTGTTTTGAGGAATCATCATCAAGCTTAGCGATCTGAAGAGCAGTTGCTTCGTCATTTTCGCCCTCAATCACGACTGCTCCGTGGCTGATGAGAAGTCGCGTAGCACCAACTTGCCCATTACACGCAGCATAGCTCAAGGGAGTTAGCCCGTCATTATCACAGCTATTCACTCCGGCCTTGGTATTGATCAAGTATTGGACGACGTGATGATTACCGTTGCGGGCAGCATTGTGTAAGGCAGTTGCTCCAGACCTATCACAGCAATTCACGTTGGCCTCCTCATCAACCAAATATTGTATGACCTCCAAGTGCCCATTTCGCGCAGCGAAGTGCAATGGCGTTTTTTCGTCATTGCCTGTAGCATTCACTTCCGCGCCTTGACCGATCAAATATCTTGTAATATCTAGATGGCCTTCCTTTGCAGAAATATGTAACGATAAATTTCCATCTACGGATGCTTCGTTAACGTCAGCCCCGCAATCAACCAATAGTTTAATGCTATCGAAATTACCAGTCATAACAGCGATGTGAAGAGCAGATGTCATTTTTTCATCTTTACTCATTTTACCTTTGTGACTTTCCAGACACTGCTTGACATCATGGTGCCCATTCTCTACTGCAAGTTGTAATGCTGTTTCTCCGTGGCTATTTTTCTTATTTACTTCAGCATGGTGGCTGATCAGGTACTGTGCAACTTGTCGATGGCCATTTTTGCAAGCAGAATGCAGAGGAGTAGATCCTTTGTTGTCACATTTATTGACTTCAGCTCCTTGACTGATAAGATACTGTGCGACGAAAAATTGCCCCTCTCCAGCAGCTAAGAGAAGAGGAGTGGCTTCCTCGATGTTTTCTTTGTCCACTTCTGCTCCGTGACTGACTAGACACTGCGTGATATCAATGTGCCCTGCTGTTGCTGCAAAATGTAAGGCACTTTCTCCAGAATCTGTTTGTTTATCGACTTGACCTCCTTGACCGATCAGGTATTCCAATACCTGGATGTGCCCATTCTTTGCAGCATCGTGCAAAGAATTTATATTATTATCATCTCCTGCGTGCACCTTAGCTCCGTGACTAATCAAGGACTTGGCAATATCAAGATGACCATTACGGACAGAATAATGTAAGGCAGTTGCTCCATGATTGTCTCCATTGGTAACGGTAGCCCCTTTACTGAGGAGATAATGTGTTGAAGCTACGTTACCATTTTTTGCTGCAAGATGTAAGGGCGTTGCTCCCTTCTCGTCACCAATATTCATATCAACCCCGATGGTAACAAGATATGTTGAAATATCAACGTGGCCATTCTCTGCAGAGATGTGCAAGGCAGATTGTCCATTGCTTGATGTTGTGTTTCCTTCCATATTTTCATCAATCAGGCATCTTGTGGTATCGAAGTGACCATTCTTGGCAGCTACATACAACGCAGTCCACCCTTCTCGATTTTTTTTAGTAACGTCAGCACCTTTACTAATCAAGTATTGTGTTGCACGAATGTCGTTGTTCTTGGCAGCACAGTGCAAGGGGGTGGTCCCATCTTTATCATACTTGTTTATATCGGCGTCATTCTCCAACAAGTAATTTACAACATCTGAATATCCGTTTTGCAAAGCCAGCAATAAAGCAGTTGCTCCATCATGTGATGTTCTGTTTACATCAGCTCTGTAGCTCAAGAGAGATTTGATGACGGAAAGGTGACCTGTTTGCGCAGCTACATGTAGAGCCGTCAATCCATCTTTCGTTGGTTGGTTCACTTCAGCTCCTTCTTTGAGCAAGTAATTGGTGACGTCCATGTCACCGTTCTGTGCAGCAGCATGCAATGCAGTTGCTTTAGACAAGTCACCCCCATTAACCCTCGCTCCATGTTCTTTGAGGTACTTGGTGATGTTCAGGTACCCGTTTCTAGCAGCAAAATGAAATGCAGTGACTCCGTTCACCTCAGCCGCATTCACATCAGCTCCACTGTCAATCAAATACCTAGTAATTCCAAAGTGGCCATTCCTTGCAGCGAAGTGCAGGACACTTGCTCCATCATTACAAACGCCACTCACTTCACTACCATGACTGATAAGGCATTTTGTTATCTCAGAGTGACCATTCTGCACCGCGAAATGTAAGGGTGTTGTACCATTTTGGGAACAGTGGTCCACTTTGGCTCCTTTTTCGATCAAATACTGCGTGACATCAAGGCATCCCGCATACACTGCGAAATGTAATGGGGTAAAACCAGCTTTGCTTTGCTTGTCTATGTCCGCTCCTTCACTGATAATGTTTTGTGTGACAAGAATATCAGCATAGTATGCAGCAACGTGTAATGGGGTTATTCCATAATTATCCTCTCTATTTACCTCAGCTCCTTTACTTATGAGGTATTTGGTAAGGTCATTCTTTCTATTCTCTGCTGCAAGATGCAAGGGACTTGTTCCTTCTATGTCAACCTTATCAACGTCAGCCCCATGGCTAATCATGCATTGCGTGACAGCAACATGACCATTGTTTGCAGGAAAGTGGAGTGGAGTTGCACCGCTATTACAAGGCACGTTTAGTTTAGCTCCATTTATTGTCAGGTTATTGTGGATGCTGATAAGACCACGTTCAGCAGCTACATGTAAGGGAGTCTTTCCATCTGTCATTCCCTTATTGACGTCTGCCCAATGACGGATCAAGCTGTCTGTAAGTTCTAGGTGGCCCTCACACACCGCAATGTGCAACGCTGTCGCACCATCAAGAGTCTGTTTATCAACATGGCCTCCGTGGCTGAGCAGGCAATTTGTAATATCTAGGTGACCTTTCTGTGCAGCAATGTGCAAAGCAGTACATCCGTTCTCATCTCCTTGATCAGTAGAAGCAACTTCGTCGAGCAGGTATTTGATTTCTTGAAGGTCATCTTTGATAGTAGCAAAATGTAAAGCAGTCAGTCCATCTACAGTACACATATTTGCATTGGCTTCATGACATGCAAGGTACCGCATGATATCATGGTGGCTACCAAGTACAGCCAGATGGAAAGGAGTGACCCCTAGATTAGTCGATGCGTTAACCTGAGCCCCTAAGTCGATGAGATGTGATGTCAGGGCGGAATGACCCTCCTGCACAGCTATATGTAAAGCAGTGAATCCTTCCTGGCTCTTCTCATTCAAATCGAAACCTCTGTCTAGCTCGTGGTTGATAGCGTCCTGGTTGCTTGTAAATGCGGCTTCGTGCAGGGTTCTGCATTTTTCACTCTTGTCATCGACACTGGGCAAGCTATACTTGTAAATTTCCTCGGCATATCCCTTGCAAATTTCTCGAAACGTTGTTCGATACCTTATTCTTCGATTCCCAAACAACTCGGAAGAGCTGTACATCTTCATTTTGAAAAATGATTGATGAGGCTTCTATTTTCAAGAGCTCAGAATATGTCAGATTGTCAAGGATAAGGTCCGGAATTATTAAGAGCTATGAGAAGTCGAAATTACACTGTCAGGAAAGCCATCCAGCCTGTGTGACTATAGGCTGGGTACATGTCTAAAGAACGCCGTCATCAATCCAGGGAATTATCGCAAAGTTACGTGAAGATACTGCAGATCATTCGAGCTTACGTAGCCTTCTTCTCACTCGATGAAGGGTATTTTGTATTTTGTAGGTAAGTCTTGTCCATTCCGATTTACGCCTTTAGAGGAAAGATAACCTGAAAAGTGATAACAGCTGGGGAGAAGGACACAAAGATGAAGGAGAAAAGAAGCAGGGGAGGGGGGAAAGAAACAACACCTATTGTAATATCGCTAGTTTCTAGACAGTCTTTTTAGTATAAAAATGTTAAACGTTGAAAAGTTTGGGAAAAACCTCATACTTATTTGTATAAGTTATCGCGAATATTGAAAATATTATTGTCCTCGTCCAGGCTACTGAAATTTAAACCAAATTCTAATTTTAAGGGCAGGGTATTCTACTGACACTAGACTAGTTCGGATTGACGTATACTGCTATCTGCTGCTAACAATGTCCCGATGTGTCGACAGCCATGCCCAACGATGCATCACCAAGTGCCAGGTGCGCGCGCGATGTTGCTTGATAACAGGAACCGGAAATCGCTCTATGTACGCCTTCCCCGAAAGATGCGTAATTGAAAATCCATTACAGCCGTGGAAGCGATTTAGGTAAAATACCCGCCTCTAAATGGAAGTTTGAGTTCCGGTTATAATGAGCGTTTATTTGTGAGCTACCTTAATATATTTTTGTCACTTCGGAAAGCTAGGAGAAATGTCCCCGGATTGTCCTTCAAATGCCCTTATGTTCGAGATGGTAAAAAAAAAAAGGTAAAATGTATTTAGTTATATCCGAAGAAGGTCAGAATATAACATCTTCGCAAATAAACTGTTTCGAGCCAGATTGCTCCAGGAGCACTACCTCTAGCGCCATCTCAGGTCCATTGTAGCAGTATGATCCTGTCACTCCCTGGGCTGTTTCTCCCACTGAACTCTTAACTTCAAAGTTTAGATTTCGGGGGGAGCAGTATTCAAAAGTTCACCATGACCTAGCACTGTGCGGGTTCATCGGTTCAGTCTCGCCTTGAATGAAGTCTTGTGAAGTTTCACGGCTGCATCCCATAATTATTAATATGAAATGTGAGCTGCATTACCCAGAGTTAATAGATAACTTATCATTAGATCACACACTGATAATAGCAATTGAACCCTGTATCTTGTACTCTTTTGATGGTGTTTGCGAAATATGTGAACTTCAGAATATTATGCGAAGACATTATACCAAAAACAAAATATTCATGTAGGCATATTATATAGATATATATAAATACAAATGTTGTTTCTCCATAAAGTTTGACATTTCTTTTTAATTACCTCTTTTCAACAAATCCCTGTGACGGCACGGTATATCTCCTTGATGAGTTTTATACGAAATGTATCCATCAAGAATAAAACATATCATCATAATCATTCCATGAAAAGAGGTAAGAAACTTTATTCCAACTTAATCGGAAACAAAGTATACTGAAACATGGGGTAAAACAATATTGATTCATAAGGTTTGACAGATAGAAGGGAGAGAAAAACGACAAGAACTCGTTCGCACCCCAAAACACACACCTGTCACACGTTCATCAAATTTAATTTTTCTTTTCTTTTTCTTTTCTTTTTCTCTTCTTTGTCTGCGAAGAGGTGGATAAAATAAAATATTTTTTATATGGCTAATCATAAGATATGAGAAGGAGAAACTTTCCATCTTTGATTATTATTTTTCAGAGCCAAAGCAATGTTAGGTACGTAATACATCTTTGTTTTCTAATTATATTTCTCCACAATTTTCATTGGACGGTTCTCACTTGAGAAAAACAGGGGAATGTAACCTCTTCCCTTACCCCTCCCCCCCCCCTCCCTGCCCTTCACCGCTGATCACCCTTGAATCACCACCTCTTGTGCATCTCTTGTGTTAAGATACGCGGTCTGAAAATCAAGATAACAAAATGCACGGATAAACGATTTGTTGACACTGTTTTTAAATATCTTGTAGAGTATTTGTCGAGTGATAAGCCCGCAGGCAGTGATGTGGAATCGTTCTGTGAATATTTCAGGTATGATTTTTTTTTTTTACCTTGTTCATTTAGGGCTGACTTAACCAATTCCAGTACAATAGCTCATGGCTTTAAAAGGTAATTAAATATGGCCCATCAGGGGGAGAGGAGGATAGAGCGAGAGAGAGAGAGAGAGAGAGATAGAGAGAGAGAGAGAGAGAGAAAGTTGGGGTACGTAGAGGGGTTGACAGAGATATGTTTATCAACATATTTTATTACTTGAAGCAGGTTTGATAATGATGCATGAAAATTAAATTTGAAATTTATTACGTCCTCTCAGGTATGTAATCAATTTTGGGAATTTGAATATAAGATTTTTCTTTAAAAAGCAGGCACTTCCTTCGATATAGTCCAGAATCTGCCCGGTCCTTTATAATCCCATACACACTTGATGCAAGCCGTCGAAGATGGTGTTATCACCAGACTCATAATTATGCTCACCAGCCAAGCCTGAGGACCGTACGCGCATATTTTTTTTACACAACTGTTTAGCCATTTTCGCGAAAAAAACTCCAAGAAGTGCTCTGGTAAAAGAGTCTAACAGCCTTTTCACACACAGCTAAAATTCATCGTATCTAGAGATGATTAGAATCATCGTAAAGTTTTAAACATGTTTATAGACAAAATTTCCCAGTGTGAACATCGTTTATACGATGTTGGGATAGATACGAAGTCACGATCCATACGCCCCTAAAAGCAGGCTGCAGATACGAAGTTCGTATCTAGTGAGCTTGACATTTTGTGTGTGAAAGGTTATTCGTGTTTAAACGTGTTTCAGACGTGTTTAAACTGAATGGAGCGTGCGCTTTGATTGATGTGACATGACCTTCAATGCGCAATGGCACTACTGCGCATTTTACGAGCAGTAGTTAATCACGAAACGATTAACGATCGCACCGAAATTTCTGTGTGTGAAAGGCTCGTGATTAGTTTAAACACGTTCGAAACACGTTTATACTAGTCATGTTTATAGAATTTTAGCTGTGTGTGAAAAGGCTGTAAGTCGTCAGCGCACTATATGTGCAAGCACGTACACCCAGGGAAGGGAAGATGATAGAAAGGAGAAAACAAGGATATAGTGGAGAGGATATGGAGAAGGACTAACACAAGGAAATACATAAGGAAAGAGAAGAGGATAAGCCAAAGGAAGAACTTATAAATATATAATTGAAGAGCTAAGAGGATCATAGATCTAGACTAAGGAAAAACAGGGAAATACAAAGAAGGAGAAAGGGAATCTATCAGATTAAAACAAAGAAATAGATGACGAAGGAGAAAAGGATAGATTGAAGGAGAAACAAAGAAATACATAAAACAAAAGAGCAGAGGTTAGAATAAAGGAGAACAAAAGAAATACATAACGAAGGAGAACTGGGGGGTAGATAAATTGAAGGAATTAAAACAAATAATTATAACGAAGGTGAAAAAGGACAGATTGAAGGGGAAAAAAGATATACATGACAAAAGAGAAGAGGATAGATTGAAGGAGAACACAAAAATACATAATGAAAGAGAAGAGAGGATAGATTTAACCCGAAACAAATAACGAATGTACACATGCATGTACAGCACCCATATCCAACAAAACTGCTAAGGGTAATGCTAGACTCTGTCTCTAGTCGTTTGAACAGTATATTTGACTGAAGTGGCTAAACAATTGTGTAAAAAAAATATGCGCGGACCGTACATACAAAAACCTCACTTTAATGGCTCTTTGTTGCAATTTCAACGGAGAGCCATTAAACTATGGACCGCCCACCATCATGCTTACGCCGCGCCGATTGGTGGGTGAAGTGTCAATCTCTTGAGACCGAAGAGAAACGCATTTGTAATGCACTTTCATCGGTCGTGAGAAGTTAGTCTTTTTGCAAGTATTTATTGTTTATGGAATTATAATTATTTTTCTTTAATCTATACAAACTAAAAATATATGGATTAATTGCAGCCAATATCATTGTTATGTATCAAGTATCTATTTGTGCAATTTGTATGTCTGTATGAAATAAAGAACGATGAGGTCTATGCTGCTGTTATTCTGTAAAATATAAAATAGCTAGCATGAAAGTAGACCGTGAGTTACAACAGTGTTTTTATCCGGCGTTTGCCTTTTTCTGTCCTTTTGATAGTCGTTGTTTGAATAGAAGCCACCTGACCGTTTTGACGAAAAATTGTATTTTGTAAATAATATTTAAAGAAAACGCAATCGTGTATTTACAATAATACAATGAACTAAATAAAACAAATTGAAGAAAATGGAAAAAAGACCCTGCAAACATTCAAGATTGATATGGGAATGGGTGTGCGTGATTTTTTTTTCTTTCCAAGCGAGTTATGATGCACACCATTTTCCCTTTTGAGATAAATTATCAGAAATACATGTAGATTGGAAAAAGAGTACTTTTCCACATATTTAGTCTGAGATTTAAACCACATAAACGTGATTATAAATGCAAAGAGTTCTAAATTTGGAAGAAAAAGATAGATGAATGCAGCATATTCATGTATTCGGGGGTAAACGTGCGGAGGAAATATAAGTGTAGGCCTACAGTGGCTGAATATCATAAGTGTTTGCAAGAAATAAAAAGAGAACATCCTGGATGGGTTTTAGATTTTTGGAAACAGTTGCAAAAATGTATTATTAGATTATCGTATACAACTAACTTCATTTATTAGGAGGAAATGTGTAATTAGCTTTAATTCATTTACTCTGTCCAGACGATATTTGAAGTGTGTGGGGGGGAAGGGTGAATATTACCTGCAGAGTAAAAAAAAAGAATGTTC